TTATTGCCTTTTCTGTCCGACTAGTTGGGTGATACTAAAACAATTAGACCCTTCGCCCTCAAGGGCCACGCGTCTATAGCTACGGGTCTAATTGTTAAATATTTCTCAGCTAATTCCAGCCAAACGTCAAGATAACATTTTAACGTAACATCACGGAAAATGTAATAACCAAAAGAAGATGTAATGCTTCTTGTTTTAAAGGAAAAAAAGTACAGCCTCTCAAATTCAACCAGCTTAGATCGCTGCCCAATTCATGAAGCGACTACTCCCCATGGAGGGGATGCTAGTCCATCGCAAGGTTACAATCACAATGTCAATGGCCAGGACTTGAACTCGGACCGCCCTATACGGAGTCAAGCGCACTAACCACGAGGCCACCGCGCCTCCACAACGATTGGGTACTTGGAAGTTATTTTCAATATCTATACACTTACCTAAATTTTTCTTTAAAATCTATGGGCGTGGTCGATAAAATATAGGCGTTTCACCCACCAATAACTCCCTAGATAAAAACGCCAGATTAGAGGCATATTTTTTTGTTGGCTTTTTTTTTCTTTTTTTTTTTTTTCATGAAAAATGAAATGAGTTGATCATACAGGAGCATTCGTGAATAAAGCTCATAGCGCTGGTCTTAGGAAGGCTTCGGGTGGCTCTATCACTCTACGTAGGATCTCATGTAATCTCACCTTACTTGCTTACTGGCACAGAAATCGAGAAGCCATTTCTTCCTAACAACAGATTAAAGAACAGGCTCGGTAGATTTCCCTTCATGCAAATATATTTACATTCGTTTAATTTCTAATATTTACACGAGGATTTTAATCTTAAAATGTCGTAAAAGTGATATTCAAATCACTTAAAACTGACTCAGGTTAATACAAACAGCGCAAAAACTGCGCCTAATCGTGCATATTCTGTGTTATTTAGCATTCTTGTCCCCAGTACGACTCTTTTTAAGATCTCGTTAAGGAGGCTCTGGGGATGGGAATTGTTATTTGTTACCAGGTCCCACATATGATGCATCGCCAATTTATCAGGCGTACGTTTCATTATGCAGTCACAAAGTCTAATTATTACAATCTCTCTGCAATTCATTCGGCGTATAAACCCATCTGATACAAAATATTCTATTCGCATTAACAACTGGCTACTTCTGTTTCACACAGCTCCGATTTAGGTTTTACGTGTGGTTTCAAAACTCTAGATGATAGGTAACGTATAGATGGCGTGACATGACACTTCCTTGATGTGACGTGACAAGTCACGTCAAAATGCCACCATATTTGGCAAGTTGAGTTGTTGTTGGTAACGTATAGATGGCGTGACATGACACTTCCTCGATGTGACGTGACGAGTCACGTCAAAATGCCACCATATTTGGCAAGGTTAGTTGTTGTTTCTTGGGTTCCCTTCCAGTGAGGTAGTAGGTCACAAGTTGTCCTTTCCCTTTGACTTTCACTGGACCGCGGTAAATAAAACTGAAGCCTTTGTCTTTCAAAATCTCATATGTCTGTTCTGTCACCTAAAAAAAGGGAAAATGAAGGTGTTATTACCAGGATCGAGTGAAATGGCAAAGAGTTCAGCATCATGATTATTACTTTTAATTAATTTTATGGTTCATTATTATCATTGTTCATTATTATTCTATCTTAGTAACTTGACTATCATTTCCAGGTTTCCCTCAATATAAAGGTGATTTTGCATGTGTCCAAAATAACTCAAAATACTGAGTTCCTTTAAAGAGCACCTGTTCAACAAATGACATATGGTTGTATTGCAAGCATTCTAATTGAGAAACACATTTTAAGGAATAATTAAACTGGAAAAATAACAACACTCAAAAACTAATACAAACCTGCATATAACCGGCTTTTCCGGTACTTTCCATTCTACTCGCGACATTCACCGTGTTACCCCAGATGTCATAGTGAGGCTTTTTGGCGCCAATTACTCCGGCCACAACAGGTCCTTGACAGATTCCTGAAAAACAAAACACATACCAACACAACATAAATGTTTGGACCTTGAGAGTGGGCACTTATTCGAGGTGGGCGCTAATTCGAGCTTTGGCGCTTATTCGAATAAATACGGTATTTAGCTTTGCATTACGACTAGAAAGCATAAACACTTTGGATGTTTCAAAAATTTCCTCTTTTACAGTTACTTTCTGTGTTGCATTTGAGAAGATCTGCCATTGGGTTAATAAAGTAGAACGCAGCCCCTTAAACCAATCAGAAACGAGATTTGATTCTTTCGGCCAATAGGGTGCAAGCCAAACACAAGGTTGTTTAGGTTACGTTACTTTTCCCGCCGTTTTCGTTGATGGCTTGTGATCGATGATGGCAAATGAAGTCATATGAGATTCCCTGTCATTGGAATGTGTACTTACCGACTCTAAGAACAAATTGATTGAAGCACTCTTGGTTGATAGATTCCAGTTTGTCTCGTAAAGCTAGTGCAAAATCCACCACTTCCACCAGTTGCTGCCAGTGTTCGAAGTCCTGGGACTAAACAAATAGTAAACGTTAGCACCAGAATGTTCAAAGCAGGATTTAATTCAATCAAGATTTGCGGTCAATTTCAGTTTCATTAGTTAACAAAGGCAATTTCCGTTCTTCGCTCATCCCTTTCATTTTAGACAAAACTGTTAAAATCTTGCTGGCTAGTGCTCAACAAAACAACAGGGTATTACAAAATTTTGACAACAATTCAATAATAGGGCGTTTGGATCCTTTACGATTTACGTTACCTTTTGTCACATGAATTGGCAATTTTGTGTTGTTCGATAGACCAGCTCTTGTCTTGCTTAAAATATTTTTCCTAAGAAGAGGCTTCCGTAAAGGAGAACCCACGACTTTCCGAGTTCTCAAAGCAGAATTCGTTTGTTTTTTTGTTTGTTTTACCTCGTATTCTGGCCTGAGTCCAGCAGCAGCCATGTAAGTGCTCTTGATGGTCTTTATTTTCTCGATACTTCGAAATCTCGGCTCTGACAAAACCTGTGAAAAAGCGATGTTCATTTTAAGTCTGAGCTATTATTTTGCTCGCGAACCTAGCCAGTATCGTTTGCAAACCTTTCATTGATCCTCAAATTCTGGCCGCAGTGAAGAGAAAGATAAAATACTTAACGAGATCACCAATTTTGCGCTTACATTTGTAATAGATGTATCCGTTTCTTCATAATAAAACCATGTCAACTTTGATTAAAATGTTGCAGAAGGGTTGTTAGCAGCATTTGACGAGAATCCGATCCATATATACTTTTAACATTAGCCCTGTGTTTTTCAAGAGCTTTGATCGCTAGTCACAGTCACTTCCTGCTGGGTTTTTGTCCTTTCTGGGGCGGATCTGGGGGGAGGGGGGCGGCGGGGGTTTGGGGGGAGGTTGGATCGAACCCCTAGATTAAAAAAAAATGAGACATTATAACACACTGACTTGGCCTTGGCTCCACTTCCGAGGACCTTAATTACAAAAAATTTACGGGAGAGGATGCCCCCGCAACCTACAGCTACAGGGGACCGCCTTTGGCAGTCTGTATCTCGAACCCCCTTCTCTAAGATCCTGTATCCTCCCCAGCCTTTTCCGAATACTCTTCAACTAAATAACACAATTTCTAAATTTTAAATCCCGAATGCATTTGATTTCTTTCGATCCGCCTTTTTGAAATCGCGCCAAAACTTGAAAACCGGCATTGTTCTTGTTCTTGTTTTATTTTTGCCTTTTATAAATATATTTACAACATATCAATATATATGCCAAGGAAGCCCAGGGAATGTAAAGCTATAGGCTTTATATGTACAGAACATTGATTCAAAATCTACCCGGCTGTGACTGTGAACTACTCGTACCTCGTCAAAATCGTTGATTATCTCGTTCAAGAACCGAATGCACTCCTTTCCACCATCATTGATTTGATCCTCGGAGTAAAACTCGTCAAAGTTTGGGATCGATGCAAAGATGACTGTCACATACTTATAGGAGTGGCTGTACAGCTCCTGTCACGGTCACACAAGGAACATATGTCACACAACACTTTCACTTGATATAATAAAGCTATATAACTGGCAAAGCTCTCCTGCTTTCAACATATATTGAGCATAAACTGTATTTCGTTGTCTAGGGGTTTCCAAAATTCATTTACTTCTTAGATAAAATTGTCTTTATACAAGAAACCCTTTTTTAAATCACTCTCCTCTTTGACAAAATAGTAATGTCAGTCCATATCTTTAGGAGAGGCGCATTTTTTAGGAGGAACTCGGGCGCCCTCTACAGTTTCACAGTCACACACCTAAAGTCACCTATAAAGACCAACCAGCGTCTTCATTGTCCGTTTTTGGGAAGCATCGCTGGGATCGCCGCAGTGATGAGAGCGCACGCCTCCCACCAATGTGGCACAGCTTCGATTCCGGCTCGGTGCCATATGTGCATGGCTTGAGTTTGTTGTTGGTTCTCGCCTTGCTCTGAGGGTTTTTCTCCGGGTTCTCCGGTTTTCCTCCTTCCACAAAAACCAACATCTCCAAATTCCAATTCGACCGGGACAGAGGACCGGCATGAAAACCAGCTAAGGCTGGTGTGGCTATGGCTCCTGAATTCAATTTATATTTTCTAATTTTTTTCCTCGATCAACCTCGCACAAACTTGAAACCAATCATAACTTGGCGTGTTTCGGATTTCCCCCGTTTTTTGTAGCCGAAAGCGGGAAACATGCTTTCATTCTTATGGTTAGTTGCAATTTTAATTCCTTGCACAGTAGTTAGGGACTGTTTTGGGGGATTTAGGTTTCCACTACAACACTGCACGCATGTTTAGTTTAGTTACCGTTTCATCTTTACTCTGATGCTGAAGGAAGTAGTCAGCCACGTGTTCTGGTAAAATGTTGTCCACCAGCTTTCTATTTCTTCCACGAATGTTTTCCACTTCGGTCTTCTTTTCAAATGCCTGCAAAATAAAACGAACACTTAACCGTGAAATTCGTAATTCTTTGAGCAAAGCAAGAGAGTTTCCTAAGGTATGAAGATTAGGGCGCGTAGCTTCCGATGTTGCGACCTGGCCTTGTCTCACGGGTTGGTGATTCACATACTGTTAACCTCATTGCGTCTTTCCCCTTGGACAGAATTGTCCAAGAAAAATTGCTATGCCCAGATCTAAAGGAAAGTGATGGATTGATAGCATATACATGTACTAAAATTTTTGCCGGAGGAAATGCCTAACAAAATATGAAGTCAGTAGTAGACTAAAATGTACCTCCATTTTCCACAAAAACAGCAGTCGAGCAGTGCGTTCAACCTGAAATGGAAACTCACTGATTAGTTTTACTCATAGGCGGGTCTAACACGTGCGCGCACGTGTGTTGTATCTGCAGTAGCATACAAAGTCAAACTGTTTTTACATATATGGACTAATAAAATATAAGCCATTTTCGAGTTGCTTTTTGCCTCTTTTTCAAAACGAGTCCTGGTACACAACCTTTTATATCGAAATGAGTCTGATTTGCATGACAATGAACGTACAAGAAAAACTCAATTTCATTTGAAAGGTTGTACACCAAGACTCGTTTTGAAACAGAGGTAAGAGCAACTTTTGGTCGATGGTCGAGCGTTAATTAGATAGAAGTTTAAACCATAAAAAGATAAAGCCGCCATATCAAACTACAAAGGATATATGTCTCATCAGGAGCCATAATCTGAGACGGAGACCGTAAGCGCGCGCCATTTCTAATATTGGGGCTGTCCCTATGATGTGGGACAATTTTGCTATTTTTAGAACAATTTGCGCCATCACGTGCGGCACACGCGCGTACATGCTGTAAAACTGTCCCGTATCATAGGTGCGCGCGGATCCCAAGACTTACGGTCTCCGTCCCCGATTATGGCTCCTGGTCTTAACACTTAATTAACCAACTTTAGGAGAGTATTAGTCATTAGGGAGGGGCGGAACAGAGTGTTCTAAAAGTCTTACCTGTCGTCCATGAAGAACAAGGATAAGAAAACTCAGCAATATGATGACTGATGAAAAGTATTTCTTTGGTACGAATGATGTGCGCCTTGCAAGAAAGGAAAGGGAAAGCAATATAATTAATTTTAAACTAACATGACGCTGAAACGTCTCTTGAAGGTGTCGAATAGTAAAGTTTACTGGACGTTTCGGGCATACGAGGTTCATTCATTTTACATACTAATGAAGAAGGACTGAGGCCGAAACGTATAGTAAACGCTGCTATTTGACACTTTCAAGAAATTTTTCAGCCTCGTATTCAATTCACATTCATTACAAGCAAAAATTTCGGACAATTTTAATTTCGGACAAAAAAAAGTGTCCGAAAATAAAACTGTCCGGAATTTTAGGCGTCCGAAATATTTACAGCAGAGTATAAAACTTTGAAGTAGCTACAAAGCTCTTAGTTGCCTTTAAGGAGCGAACTGAGACAATGTTTGCGAGACGCAAAGGCTTGATAGAATTTGTGTTATTTTCTCGTGGGTGTATCCGTAAAACCTTGACGGCGCAGTAAAACTATCATCTTTTGATGTTATTCCAGTCCAATTCGTGTTTTGTTGGCGTAAATTTACTTTAGCTATGTTTCAGCAAAGTGTCCGAAATGTTTGTCCGAAATTTGTCCGAAATGAGACCAAAAGTGTCCGAAAATTAAATGTCCGAAATTTTAAAGCCCGAAATTTTTTGCAAGTAATATAAGTTTTTTGCTCACTGTATGAGCGATGAGTTGAGTAAATTAAACCTCTCTACCACCAAGAAAATATTGATAATATTCTTATATTTTTGTCATTATTAGTTGCCCAGGGCGCTCTTTGATAACAGCTTATGCTGATGATTTACACTGGTTAAATATGTAATTCAAGTATATATTTAACGAGAGTAAATCATCAGCATAATAAGTTATTATTTTCACTAGGATTAATAATAATAATAAATAATCCTTATGGAGAAAGATCCCGTCACATTGCGTGGTTGTTAGGGAAGTCCTCAGTAACTAAGGTAAAATAGAGTAGAAATTTTAAAACTAATCACAATTAAATCCAAGTATTAATAAGAATTGGAAGTAAAGCTGGAAAATCACTTTTAAAATTTAAACGTATCAAGTAACGACATTGTAAAAGTATTCAAAGGAAGCTTTTTTATGTCCATAGGCAGGGCATTCCAATCAGGTAAAGTACTATTTACTGATCTGAGCAAACCCCAGTTACTACTTGATTTAATGGATCGAATAATGTCCTTTGAGCGAGTGGGATCCAGCGAAATATTTTAAACGTATAAAATAAGTAAATTGAATACTCACTGGTTGTTGAAGTGCACATAAGTATCGTAATTGTCGTAGATTTGATGCTTGGCAGAGAGGTTCATGATGCAATAAGCAATCACCACCCCCAGAGTCAGTAAAACCTTCAGGGAGTGGCTGAGTTGGACTAGAACCGAGATCCCCACCAGAATCAGGATGCCATTATACGAGAAATACTGGGAACAAACAAATAGTGAAAACAAGTAAGTATAAGAAGTAAAATTGAAATTGAATTGAAATTACAAGCTTATGATCTATCTGACTAATGAGGTTATTCGCCCGCGTTTTCTATGAGCGCCACTAGCTAAGACTTATTGTTAGGTCAAATCTACCAGCGTTCTATCGCGAATGCCGTTCTCTGATTGGCTACACTACTCACCATCTATTCTGTGATAGATAGTGAGTAGCGTAGCAGTGTGCCCTTGTTAACAAAACGAGGGCCGCTTCTTGGCGTTTTCGAAGTGTCTGTGAAGAGGATTTAGATAAAGTTTTGAACGATTGGGAGATTTATACTAAACCAATTAGATTATTCACTCTCGATTTCCATGCGTTATAGAAGTCTCGAGCTCATATTCTCACTGTTTATTAGAGTGCAGTGGCTATCGGTCGTCTAGGGAATGCAGCGCTTTTTCTTTTTCCGAAGTTTTGGAGGAAAGTTTAGATGCAAATAGACAAATAAATTCCTGAGAACACTAAAAGAAGGTCATTAACGGTATTTTGACGTCAAAACTTGAAATTATTAAAATAACGGGTGCCCGCGTGTAAACAACTGCAGAACTCCAATACAATTCAATCCGCGCGATTTTGTTAAAGCATAAAGTTTAATAATGCGTAGAAAAAGAATTAGAAACCGTTATTTCCGTTAATTGCGGTTAGAATTCTACTAAAACAATTAGATTATTCGTTCTTGATTTCTATGAGGTGATAGTCGAGCTCATAATCTAATTGTTAATTAGACTACAACTGTGCAAGTAGGAAACTATACTGTTGTAAAGCTGAGTTTTATACACACCTGCGGATATTCACAGGCTGGACTGGAGGGATTCAGAGGCTCTGATCTGTTGTATCTCAGTGCCACAGCTTCTTCGTCTAGTGTACGTGTTTCACAACCAAGCTTGAGAGGAAACAAGGAGAATAGAAATAGATAAATAAAGCTGTTGGGTTTTTTTTGCCAGGATTTCCTCATAGCTTGTGGCACACCGCAAAATCAGCTTACGAAAATATATAGCGTGTTTCTGAATTTGGGAGGTTCATCCGCTACCAAGATAATATACGTTCGGTAGCAACTTTGTCAAAGTGGTTAGATATTATTGTTGTCGTTGGCAATAAAAGAGAGGAGAAACGTTAAATTGGTGAGCCAAAGATATTTCTGATCATGTTTTGGCTGCAAAGGCTTGCCTAAAGTTCTCTAAGACTATGTTTGTCGCTCAAAATCTTAATTGAGCAAATCGTAAAATTTGCACTAACTTACCATGTCAATCAACTCCGAGCCAGCCAATAAGGTCACACTAAGGGCGGCCAGAAGGGTTCGAGCTGGTTTACTCCCATCCAGAACATTTGAAAACTCCACTAAAAATTTGGGGAAATACTGTAATAGAGAAATTAACGGAACGATAACGGGAAATTAGTCATTGTCTCAATTTCTAAACAAATGGGGAAATCTTTTGAGCTTGAAGAAAAATTAAGAACTTGAGACCTTGTAATTGGGGTTTGAACTAAATAAAAATTTTCATCTTGGACCAAATTTCAAAATCCAGTAAGTGGACCTCCCACTTCAAACGTGACCGTGAAACAAGTATTGTCATCCATTTTCGTTCTATTCATCGTGAGGATCTAAACTCACGGCTCCCTAATGGTTCATACTGTTTTTGAGTTATGTTCTACAAATTCAAACAATGTTTGAAAGGTTGCATTTGTGCTTTGAGATCTGGAAACTTCCCCAGAAATCACGCTGACCGTGTCTCTTGTGTGCGTGCCGGCCGGTAATGTTAAGGGCGCTTGTTAGTGAGTTTGAACTACTGAATTAGTTCATCTAACTACTCTAGCAAGTTTCGCGTACACATAACATTTCTGTGAACAAGTGTTTTTTCTACTTTACTGTTTCTGATAGTTAGTATGTTAGTTAGTTCACGAAGCTCGCGAAGAAAGTTCGTAAGTTCAGAGAATTTTGAAGCGAAACGTAGAGATGTGGTGCGTAGAAACGAATTTAAGGCTAAGGATAGGTCGCTTTGAAACTCTGAAGCCAAAAGTCAGGTATTAAAACGTGGAGTTTTAAACACGCTAAATGATGGCATGACTATGTTCCTCTGCATGCTTCTTTCTTACCTTTGGACAGCTGGAAGCAATTGTAATGATGGTAGGGATAAGTAGCAACACCACTCCCACAGAAAACGTCAAATCGTTTCTCAAAGACCTGTGTGAAAAAATGACATATGAGCGACCTACAGTACTAGGTCCTTGCATTTAGGGAAATAATTTTGCGTACAGTAGACATCAGTAACGGTTGAAAATTGTGGCTCAAATATTGATGAAAATTCAAATTAGCACAAGAGAAGAAGTCTAAAGGTTTGTTTTTCTCCGTGGTTATACCCCACCACCCCTCCGTCCTTTTGACTAGTTTAATCCTCCCTTCACCACCCACACACTCCATCTAACACTCCCCTATTGCCGTATACAATGAATAGATAGAAATATAACAACCTTGGAAAAATTGTGAGTTCCACGAAGAAACAGAAGACGATGATAATACAAAGACAAATAAGGGACTCGCCGCTCATTTCCTGCTTCTCCAGGGCGTACTGTGGGCGACAAAATACAAATACAAGATTTAGTTAAGCCTAAAAGCGGAGCTCCTGATTACAATAAGTCAACCTGCCTTGAGCCTGCGAACCAATCGAGAACCAGAACCTGGGAAGCCGTCAACTTAAAAAGGGACGTGACCTAAAAACATGAGCCCGCGATGCGGTCGCGAGATACTGGTCAGCGGATACTTTGTTTTGACAGGTGTCAATCGACTATAGCTCCACTGTAACGACAAATTCTGAATGCTGTATTTCTACACCTACAAGAACATCAATGTTCTGTAGGTAACTCTCATTTCAAATAATGGGACCCAAAGGTGTGGTTAGTATGTTTGAATTTGCCAAGGTGTAGGGATTTAAGCCCTGTTCGGGATCCTTATGTCATGTACTTGACATAACAGTGCCTCTCATTACCCAGAATTCCAAGTGAGTGCTAGTTATTTAATCCTCAATAGGAAAAAAAGATGGCGGCTGTACATTTTACCACAATATCTCGCGAATCTTACACTGCCCATAAAATACAAGGAAAGCCGCCAGTGCTTACGGCATTGTGTATGCTAGGTTTGAAGATTTTAGAACTTTTCTGTACGTTTTTCTGAATGGTGTTAAAGTTTTCGTGCTCTACGAATTATGGGTAAATGTACCAGTCGCCATCTCTTTCCCGCGGAGGTTTCCAGAACTTTTCAAAAAATTACTGGAAGCGGGAAAGCCGGCGATGGTCTAACATGCATGCATCCAGGCGAATTTCGAATTCTTTCACCATCTATTTGATTAATTATTTGGACAGTAAAATCCTGATTTACCTGGAACTCGCTGTCAGGTTCGAGGAATCGAAGAGTAAAGGGATTCATTTTCTCCTTTACCCTGAAAAAAAAACAAACAAACAAAGTCAGGTAAGTTGATACAGTATACATGTAATTGTGAAAATGTTTGGGCAAGGAATGTAGGAATATTTGTAATTGTTGTATAAATTTTTCAAATCTTCCTACCCGCCTGCTCGCTCATCGAGAACGTCTGACAACAGTTTATTGAGACTTCGTTCGCTGTTAAATAAAGCAAAGAAAAAAGCGTAAACTGGTGAGCAATTTTCATCAACAAATGTTAACTAAGCTGAAGCTTTCTGAAATATAGTACATGTATTCATACATAAGAAAATTCATTCATAAAATACATTTTAACGCCTCAAATTCTCCATTTTAGCCCGCAAAATGCGCCAAAATGCTCTACATAGTGATAATAATTATCGTTAACTTAGAGCCCCTTGTTTTAATCAGCCGTTTTAATGCCCGCATCTATGACCAGATGAGACAACACTGACGAGACTAGGGAGCTTCAATAGAGCGATAGGGGGGCTCTCTGTCTCTCTGAACAAAGAAGCAACCGTGATTTTTGAAACGCAGACTGAGTCACACATAGCTTCACTGACCTTGTTGTTGTACAGGAATCAGACTTCTCCGACTCGCCCTCCTGAAATAAGAAAACAAATTTATTACTCTTCAACTGAGTGTCCACAATGGACACAGGCAATCCAAGAAACCAATCAAAACTTCAAGTTAACATATGTAGCCGACGCAAAGCGCGGGAAACGTGTGCGAGCGAATCACGATTGAGTTTGGTTTACATCTGATTGGATGAAAAAGTGGCGCGAGTTTTTAGCCAATCGTGTTTTGCAGCAATGCAAAACCATTTGCTTTTCGACATTCATGTTACATGTATTACTCTTTTACTGAGAAAGTTTACCACAATGAAGACATTTTTTTGGTAGTTCAGCCTCTAAAACGCTGTTTTAACAGAAACTCGTAACGAGATTTCTCTGTTTCTAAGTTAATTCAACTTTGAGGAAGACATGAAACGACTACAAATGTCACTGGATGTGTAAAATGTCAACTCATTTTTAATAGATCTCAACCCCGGACCTCTTTAAGCTATATTCATATAATTCTTTTACTCACATCAAACAATGAAACTCTTCTAAACTCCATCTCTTCCTTGTTGATAATACTGTCCTTATCACCCACTTCCCAGTGTGTAGTGGAGTTAATAAGTTCCATGATTGGCGATGAAGTTCGTCTCGCTTCTTTCGAAGAAGGCTCCATCAACCACGTGGCGTCATCACTCTCCTAAAAATACGTTAATGTGATGGAAGTTCTTACAACCTCAGAGACTCTAGCTACAATTTAGCACTCCTGAGACCTAGAACTGAATCTTAAAAAAGCGTTTTTTTGTATACAGTTGGGCTAGATTGTGAAATTCTCTTCCAAATAAGATCAAATCCTATTGAAATCAGATCAGTCTATCGAGTCATTCAGAAAGTATCTACCCACACTTTGTCGCCAAAATAGCATATAACACTCATACTAAGTATTGTAATATATCAATATTTTTAAATGTAATTGTAGTTATTTTTTGCACGGATTTCTTGGAAACCAATTCAATATGTGACAGACGAAATCCCTTGTTGAAATAATCTGTCTGTAAATCTGCTAACGTAAATTTTCTTAGGTGCGTTTGAGCATTAAGGTACGTCCGTTAAGGCTCCCCCAAACGAAGAAATATCGTTGTGGAAACAATGTTTTTCTCTATGGTTTTCGTTTGCGCAAATACGAAACATTTCCTACCAACAATAAGATTCTGTTTCTGAGAAACAAATAATATTTTAAACTTTTTCAAGACATTTTGCTTCCACAGCGAGCTCTTCTCTGTTTGCACCAAGGAAATAATATTTTGGAAATTATGTTATCGCAATAATGTTTCCAATTCCAGGAAACTTCAAAGAACGTTTTTTCACTTCATCAAAGTTGCATGTATAATTACAAGATATTTATGACAGCGCAACACTTACCTCGTTCATAGAAGATAGCTTCGGATTTTTGTTACTGCCATCGTTTTTCTTTTTCACTACCAGATACGTTTTGATGCCTTGTTCTTTAATGAAATCATTTCTAGTGTGTCCTTCACCAGGTTCTACTTCATAATCCAGTTTGACACAGTTGTACGTAGACTCCGATATGTGAACACGTCTGTGTATGGAACAAAGTTAACTGTTATAGTAAACTGGAGAAAAAGACGCCAAAATTCTTAATCAACTGCAGATCAAGATTACAAAAGAAACTCTTTAAAACGTCACGAAGAAAGTCCTTAAAGTCTAATGGAGGGATCAAACGAGAAAGGTCGACGGCAGTTAGTGGACAATATGTTTTCTTGAACTCTCCATCCCTCGAACTCTCAATAACGAGCTTAGAGTTGCAAAAGTTGAAATCATCTTCCAGCAGACGAGGAGAAACTTGTAGGAAAGTCATGGAATTAACGCGTATTAAGAGCACTTGAGAACGCGTCAGGATTGATTGTCTCTAAAGGAGCGCCTTTGAAAGAGAGACACCACCTAAAAGACGTGAATTCCTTCACCAGAGATACCAAAAGCGGCAAGTCGTAACAGTACACTAATTTGCTCACTTTAATTACCTGTGGTCGAAAAACGATACACAAGTCAAACTGTCCTGTAACAGTATTTGAGTAATAAAAAGAGATTTCTACAAACCCTGGTATTCCTCCAGACTCCATACTATTGGCCAGCGTGACGTCATTTGACCACGCATCAAATTGCCACTTGATCTTTCCCAGGACCCCCGCGAGCACGGACCCAGTGTGGATTCCAACGCGCATGTCTAGTGTTTTGACTCCAGTTTGCCTACGTACCTTGCTGCAAAGAAACAGAACCACACAAAGAGAATAACAAGGTTGCTCAAATTTCTTCTATTTTTTTAAAAAAATTGCTTCATACTTAGTGTTTGTTTATGGCGTTATGAATGCAGCCAGATGTTTGGAGAGGTCGAGAGAAAGGTAAGTGTGGCTTAAGGCACCCTTGCCTCACTCAGTCCCAGTGCTCCTCTTTACAAGTACTCTCCGTTTTGTTCCGACAAAGAAAAATGGCGTTGTGATATATATTTAACAATGAGATTATTCGCCCAAGTCAACTGTCACGCATAGAAACCGTGAGCGAAAGTCCTGATTGTTTTAGTATAAATCTACTAGTCGTTCAAAACTTTATGTAAATCCTCTTCACAAACAATTGCGAAAACGCCATTTTGTTAACAGCCGCACACTGCTAGGCTACTCACTATCAAGAGTCTAAAACAGAATATATAGATAGAGAGTAGCGTAGCCAACAAGAATATATTTACGCATTACTATGTTAAGGTACGACGTAGTTGCCTCCATAGATTACAAAACAGTGTAACCATGGTTACTCACGCAATGTGAGAGATCATATCCCGGCCCATCTCAACAGCGCATTGCGCATGTGCCTTGTTGTCGTCCAGGCCCGCGATGCAATAGTAACAGTCTCCTAGAATTTTGATTCTCTGACAGCAATTTTTCTGAAAAATATCAAAGGAATGAGATTCCATTAGCCACAAAGCAGTTTCCTTAAGTGCTATTCGTCACTGAGCGATCACTACTATAAACCGCTCTCCGTGATGAATTACGCGTTCAAATTGGTTTGCTTTTGTTGTGTTTTTCAATTGTTTTGTTTCAGGACACGGTTAGTTCACGTGACTTTCCTCTCGCTAACTACTGGTTACGTTTCCCCCACTTTGCATGGTTTGTTTGCTCTCAGTTCAAATTCTACATCAATACGTTTTTGTCCATGAGCTTCAATCGATGGGTTTTCGTTGATGCACTGTGCACTGGGCTTCAGAGTTCTGAAATTAGTTCGAATCATTTGGTAAGTCATTTAATTCTCATCTAGGACGACAGAGCGATCATAGGAAATCTCATACGGTCTATACTGAAAAAAATAAGCTCTCAACGCCAGTGAGATAAAATAATTATGTGGCAATTACTAATCTAGACGTACCCGTCATAAACTTACCGTTCCAATCTTGTCGAAGTTGGCAAATAACTCATTGAGAGTAATGATTAGTTCCTCTGCGGTACATTTAGATGAGAGTTCCGTAAATCCAACAATATCGGCAAACAAAATGCTGCAGAACATTGTAAAAGATGGGCGATTAAAATCGATATTTGGACAGTTTAGGTAGCTTTCCTGTCAGTGGGCGTGGTCAGTTAGTTTACGGAAGAATTTTGCAAAGTTTTAGAATGATCCTTATTCAAGACCCGAGAGGGGAGGGGTAAGGACTCCCGTATAAAGAAGAGGGGTGTGCTCGTCAGAAATTTTGAAAAGAGCCCCTAAGAGGCACTAATTCTAATACAAAATACATCTCCTGTCATGTCTTATTCGGCTCAGTACCCTAAAAGGTTTCGAAAAAGCTCCCGCTGTGGACCCTTTGAGGCTGAATACCCTAAGAGGCACCAAAACTGCTGAAAGGTACAATGAGCAACCCCGTCTCCATTAAATGGGAGTCCCCCACCGGTATTCAAGATTTGATTTCATTATAAATAAGTTTTCGCACTAGTCCGGAACAGGGTTGCAGCATTGTTTAATCACAATGCACGAGTTTTATGGGGTGAAGTAGCAGCTCTCGTAAGGTCTCACATAAATGTCTTGCTACCATTTGAGAGAACAATAGAACAAACAACAGAAAAAATGCCCCAAGCCCCAAAACAATAACAGCGGCTAACAATGAAGAGAATTACAAACTTACGAGAGCTGCTACAGTTCTGGTTTTATAGTTAGTTGTACTGTTCGCTAGAATTAACATCAGCTAACGTGCAATGTAGTCCCGGGCAGAACAGTGCTGTACCTATAGTACTTTTAGTAAAGTACAAGGTCAAATTCAAAACACCTGCACTCCTCGTGTCGTTTGATGTAGAGTTTATTAAAGGAACCATCTTTCAAAATTTTGCCATCAGCTTCGATGTCATCTGCCATTTCTGTAGCCACGTGTTTGGGAAGAACGGAGTGAAGCAATCGTCTCTAAAAACAACAAAGGGAAATAATGTGATGTCGACTTTTGATACTGAAAATAGAGAACGCCTCGGGTCTAAAAAACAACTAAGTCTACATAATATTGACGAAATTATTTCATCATTATGTCCATATTACTTATTTCAATTGCACGAATAAAAATAAATGGTATGACCTTTTTTTGTTTTTTGTTTTTGTTTTTGCAACTAAAAGAAAAACAGGAACAAAATGAGCTTAAAGATGGTTTGAAGAGCGACAAAAATTGCAGACATTCTAAGGACTTCAGCAACGGAGCCCGGGTTTGTATATTAGAAATTAAAGTCAGCGGTGTTGCTAAGTAACAAACCTGCTGACGATTCTCCGACTCTAAAGTTATTTTAACTTCTAATGATTGCCTCGTTTCCAGAACCGATCTTCTCTGCCTCCTGTCGGCGATGTAAAAGTCTATAGCACCAAGAATGTTACTACAAACAAACAGCAAAATGTTTGCACCCATCTGTTGATAAAAACAAAGTTGAAATCACATATGCATTCAGCCCTTTTTAGTTCAAAATCTATGGCATGGTTGTGAAACGCAGCTTATAAGATAATTCACAGTCCTAAATAGACAGAACCGGTACTGTGAGAATATCACACCCAAAGACATGACAACTGGACTCGGAATTGAACAGCCTCGTACCCAGTCTAGTCTCTAGGCGTTCTTTCCTGCCTCGCTGCCTGCACAAAGTCTGGGAAGGAGTGGGCAACAAAACTGGTGTTCATTCGGTGGCGTCACTGCTTAAGACTGAGACCTCAGGCAAAATATTGCCTATCATTTAAGCTGCTTAGATCAGACAGCGGCACCAAGTTTTAATTACAAACGCCATTTATGAAATGTATTGATCTGTATTGATCTGTATGAGGTGTATTGATATTTATTTTGCCCTGTGGTCTTTACAGCTGGCGACAATTTTCAAAAGTATAAACTGTTTTACTGAGTCCTGGAACCAGCTGGGGTTGATTTGAATTAGGCCGAACGTGATCGATTTAAATTTATAAAATGATTAAAAGGAAATAGCTGTGTTGTCAATAAGTGCGTAAGTAACTAGAGAGCTCGAGACGACGTTTAATTTTGGGCAAATAAAGACAGATCCCTGCCAGTCAAGAACAGATGTACATCAGAGATCGTCGAGTCTGGCAATGAAAATAAAATTGATAGTCGGATCGTGCAGGGTGTATTATATTCCGGCGGTTTGTCGGTTTAAGCCAATTTTGAGTGACGATTTTCGAGTACATTAATTGAGATTTATCTGGTGGTTTACGGCTAAGAATTTATCGCGGGGTTGGAGAAATCCTAAATTTTGCTCGCTGTTTTCGGTTTTTGCGTGTTTTTGTGACGGTCATTCAAACATCTCGAGCAATCTTTGTGTTTGCGAACAGCCCATTATTCGTCAAAACGTTTTGTTCACTGTTTACTGAATGGAGTAAGAAAAAATTTGCTTAGGAACAATTTGGTCTTTCTGAGGAGAGACACGATTACTGAGCTAGCATTACATGTCGTAAAGAGTGTTTCGTATTTGGTAAAAATTTAAAACGATCTCTGGCTGAAACGATTAAAAAATTACAAGCTTTCGACTGCCTGAACTACAGTCTTCGGCGGGTAAAATGTAAATGGCAAGAAACGATGGACAAAGAAAAAAATGAATAAAAACGCGTGAAATTGCGAAATAATGAAAATGCAAATTATGAATGTTTGTTAAAAAGAATGTTATATTGTCCAGGTAGTGGACATAAATTGTGTCCGCATTGGGAATCAGTTTGGTATGCCATGCTTCCATTGTCTTTCTTGTTCTAAAACCGCCTTTATCAATGACAGTTCGCATTTTCAAAGTCAATTGGGTGATCGTGTGACTGTAGTTCAGGTAGTCGAAAGCTTGTAATATTTTAATCGTTTCAGCCAGAGATCGTTTTAAATTTTTACTATGTTTTATCCTGGCTGCGCCCCTTCAATATTTTCATTGTTACGTACTGTTAAAAGATAGGTGATGATGATAATCGTCCTAATAGTAGGGCCTTCGTTTCGTTCTAAAAACCGAAACCGCGGTCTGCGGTTTCGAATGACCAAAATATGGCTGTTTGCGGAATATACGATACTCTTTTAATAGACCTTCATCAAAAACTAGCTGTAGCGGGGAGTTTTTTTCACTCTTTTCTGCATACATAGTCTGGACAAGAGTTAACGATTGAATATGACACGCCACATTGAGTGCACTGATCAGTTTCATTCGCACGAATGGACAAAAACAACACTAAACTGATTCACACAAAACAGACTGATGCAGCTGTTTGGTCAGTGCTTTTATTTTTATAAAAAGGAAGTCAAAATTGTGGTGTTTAGGTCAAGAAAAGGGCCGTCAAATAGAGTATTTAGGTTAAAGAAAGGGAAATCAAAACTGTGGTGTTTAAAAGAAAAGGGAAACCAAAAAGTGTGTGGCATGGAATTACATGCAGCGTTGCAGATGGCGTTCATAGTGGACTCGTGTTGAATTGTTACACACGGTTTTGCAACAGCAGATTCTTCTTCTGTATGTAGGGTCGAGCACAACAGTTTCAAGGATTTAGAAGGTGCAATTAAAACATTGCGTGCACGCCACCGGGAATGTTATGTGCGACGAATTCTTGAAAAAAAAGCCGTCAAGAAATAGACATTTTTTGGTGATTGTTAGAGGTGATTGCGATGACGCAGTTTGATATGTCTTTAAGATTCCGCTGTGAGCATTAAACTTATATTTTCCAGTTTTTTTAACGTGAAATGAATAGGAAATCATGATATTATCGAAACGAATGTTTCGTAATTAGAAACTAAGATTAACAACATTTAGATATCAGCATGAGAAAATGGTCAATTTGAAACATATTTTAAAAGGTGTTTAATTTAGGGGTTGTGGCATCGATTGACATCAGATTCGGTTCAGGAATTAACTTCCCGTTCTTTCAACGATTGCTCTTTCTTTTACGAAATAATCCATTACTCGTATTACATCATCATGATAAATTTATGACGAGGCCTGTGATTGGTTGAGGTGGATGACTGACGCACATAACCTGCCCGGTGACAAACTTATAAGTCTTCAGTCATTATCGACGATAGATTTTGTAAACAAACCCACTCGCAAAAGACTTTCATTAAAAAGCCAAAAACACGGGAACGATATTAGACTCAATATATCAAAACTATAAACTTAAATGTTGTTTATCGCAGAAATTTGTGTTTGCCATTACCTCGACGAGAAATCTTTTAGGAATGCGTTGAACTCAGTGAAAAACGAGGTATTTTAAACAAGAGTGCTTCCCGACAGTGGAATTCAATTAGCGCTGTTGCTAGGCAAAAGACCATACATAATTGTAGTGAATACATTATCCGAGGCTCAAATTGTTATTCACCACAATAGTTTTATTTTTTAAGTTTGCGATTTGAGTGTGAATTTAAACGTGCGATGAAATTAAATACTACGAAATTTTGTTTGAACAAGGCATTTAAGACAAAATTCAAATGGTAAAAAGCGACAACTAGCTTCTGGCAGAAAATGTCGGTTTTTCCGACTTTTTGTTTCGGCTTACTGTTTTCAAGTGCCGATTTGTCCGATCACAATAAACTTACCCGGGAGTATCAGCAACAGAGACTGGATATTTCGAAATATGTCGAAATAGACGCGCTATTTTCGCGAATGTGAGCCAGAGATCAGTCTGTCCGAAATCTAAGCTAAAAACAGATAGTTTCCGTTGCGAAGGATATCCCTAGGTTTAATTTAATGAAGCATGGTTCGCTTATTTGCACTAATAAAGATTTTGGTATAATAATATGGAGATTTTTCATTGTAAATACGGCGCCTGAAAAGAACAGCGTTGTTCAAAAAGCCCTTCAGTGGCTAACGTTTCGTTCACAACAAGCTAGGCAACGCATTAATAACTAGAATACAAATTTGAAAACCATTCACTGTCTTAGTTTACGTTCTCTCTTCGGCGGGGGTCGATTCGATCTGATAACGACTACGTTTGAAAAAGGCGCACAGAGTTCAGGGCGCCTTCTTCTGTTTTGTTTTAATTTTGGTGTAACCCTTCTCGTATTTGTGGCTTGGTTCGTGTTTGCTCCTAAAAACAAGTAGAACGGCTAGCGGGCGGGTTTAATTTATCGGCAAAATATCTCATCGACGCCAAAACAACTGCATAAAACCTTTATGTTACAAAAGATTGATAATCACGCCAACATTGAGGAGAATATTGTAAGCACTCGGCATATCGCAGCCACTCTCGAGTTTCCGAGTAAAGTGGATTGACCAGACGTAGCAAAGAGGGTTAATAGTTTTTCAGGAAGAAGATAAAAATGAGAAGTTCCCTCGTGTATCCCCGGAAATGATATTTTGTTGACCTTCCAACCACAGATTGTGAATTATATGTAAGAACACTCACTTACCTGCCTCCCAAAAAACTCTCGATTTTGTTTGGCGAATATGCTGGTGACAACAATGTGTCCCATTCCCGCAAGCATTGCCAGCGCTGTACATAAGGGCAAACTTGCGGGTAACATTACATTTGATATAAACATAAAAAAAGCGAACATCCCCACAGAATCGCTCGGCACCAGAGGGTCGTATCCAATTGCTAAGTCCACTTGTAACTGGAAAAATACAGTAAACCACACTATATAAGGTAGCCATTTGAAAATTCGAGGAGGAAATAGCTTCAAAAAATACAGTACGATGAACGAAAGGTTGATTGCACAAAACGTACAAGTGACAATAAGTCGACTGACTTGCGTTGGGCTGGATTTGTTAAAAACTGTGGAGTACATTGCGATCAGACATAAATTGACCACAAAATCCAGTAATATTATGTACAGAATTCTGTCGAGTTTTTGCCGACAGTAATAACGTTGGTAGATCTCTTCCAGCTGACGAGAAGCAAACTCTACCTTGAAACAAGAGGGCAAACACACCAACTTGCCCATTGATGTGAATATAAGTCTCATTTTACTAGTCTGTGTATTGTTGTGTGAATTATCCTTAGCGAAAGCAACCTTCACATTCGACGTACTAATCTTCGATTCCGAAATGCTTCGATCGGTAGTCTGTGTCCTTAGGGTTTTTACAGAACTCGTTGTAGAGCTTTCGCCATGTTCTGGACTGGAACTGTCTTTGCCATTGCTGCTTGGGGCGTTTGGGTTATTTTCAATTTCATCGCTCCATTTAACAAACGCAGGCGAAACTCTCGCGTTGCCAATATTTTTCTTCATCTCGGGTTTAATGGCTGGCCGTTTTTCACTCTTATCGACCACGATTACCGCAAATTACCACGACTCACTTGCAGATTTATCGTATCTTTTCATGCGCTGTAATAATCGGAGTTTACTTAGTGTGACTGTAGTGGGTCGCACCGCTGTGTTTATGCTAATTCAGGTCATATTTTCTAGACAGATGTGATTGGCTACGAAAACAACACGCGCAGTTGGAAAATGAAAAAACTATTAAAATGAAAACAGTTCACCTGCGTGCGTAAGACCAGAGATAGTCAAAAAGTCAATGCGAGGTTTGCCACTTATTTCATTGCGTTAAAAACGATGAAGTATAACTCAAAAACGTTAAAACACCAGTTAAGTTTTATCAAAATTAAAACGCTCGCGCACTAAATTAAGAAGATTGTCTACTTTTGGTAACAGTTATTCAATTCCGAACAAACCGATCCTTAAAGGTGATACAGTCCTTCTGAGAATGTACACTCATTTTCAGTTGTTGCGAAATAAAGATTATATACACTCACTGCGTAATAGTTTACTTAGAGTAAAATTTCTATGATGGATTGGCAAAACCTCGCTTTATTTCTCCGGATGAATAAGACAGGTGAGGCCAGAAGCAAAAACCAAAGCTGTTTCTGATTGTCTGCGAGGTTTAAAGACCTTGTTTTACCTCAACTATAATTCCGTACCGGTTTAAGACGCCGCGCCAATGTTAATCTATTTGTTGAGGCTGAATCATCCAGGTTTCAATTTATTTTATTTTATTATTATTTTATTTTTGCAAGAGACCGAAAAATGGGCAAATAACAGACCGATGCAACCAAGCTGTCTAGATATATTTTTGTAATAAAAGGAGGAGTGATGTATTTCTACGACACGGTTTGCTAATCCACAATAATGTAAGAAATTAGCATAAGGAACTAATAACAACAAACAGTTTTCCCTGGATAATGGATATTTTGTCGCTCTCCCTCGTTTAGTTTTGACTTCAATTAACATCTTGCTCTTTTAAGCCCACTGTCGGGCTGATCTCTAAAAATATCGTAAAATAAGCTAAATTTTTCCCCTCAGATTTATTTTTACGTACGTGAGTCTCCGTCCTACTTGCAGTTGGTTTCAAGAACATAAAAAAAAATGAAATTACGCTGAGAGATATGCTTTGGGTACAGCGACAACATTTTCTGTCGGTTGCCATGGCCAGCACCTTGTCATTAAGAACAGTAATTGAAAGTCAAAAAAATATCCGTAGGTTTATTCTCGTCTGGGGGTAATTACCATATTTTATTTTCAGCTTGCTTATGGTTCGATGTTGTAAAAGTCGGCAGCATCAGCTAACGCATTTTTTGACTTCAAACATCGACAAAATAGGAACACAGCAGAAATATGACCAACTTCACTGGAAAACACTCCCTTTTAGTAAGACCTTCAAAGAAGCGTGCGCCTGTGTTTGAATAAATGGCAAACTCTTTTGATTTTGTCGCTGCGAAGATCATGGAATAGTTCAATACCACCTATGATATTATATTCATCGCTAGGACAGCAGCGATAACATTGTCTTTCCTTGTCGAAAGGGGCATGACTTGGGAGTTTGCCATTGTGTTCTTTTTTGCGGTGATAACAGGCTGTCGCTCACCAAGGACTTGATGACATGTTTCAGCGGTCTACCGAACGTTCGAAAGTCTTCACTGAGGATTTGTGCTCTCCAAAAAAGTAGCAAAATAAAATTGATATCATGGGTCTATGTTATCAACGTGTTTCATTGTTAATTTTTATTAATAATTCTTCCCGAATAAAAGTGAAACCAAAAGAACATGCAAAAGAAAGGAAAGGTGGTTACTTCATTAAAAAGAATCGATTGACAGTCAACTGAATGAGTTGAAGGTCGGAATAATGAAACAGACAACACAGAGAAATTGTTGTGTGCCGTTTTTGCTTTAATCAGAAGCTTAGCATAGTTGGTGACAACGTCGACCAAAACAACACAGTTTATATTGAACTTAAGATCTTATATCGAAATCTATTCAACCCGTTTACCGGTGTTAAACATTAATTTCAGCTGCGTATGTATGTAAAAACAGCATGCTTTTTCAAACAGAAACGCCCAAAAATTCGTCCTGATGGAACCAATCGTTCAACAAAAATAAGCAAAATTTGCTAGTGTCACCTCGATTACAATTCACCAGCATGTACCAAACACGATCAGACGGAATGACTCAACTGCTCATTAAATCTTTTCGCCGCCATTACTGTTGTGGTTTACTACATAAGCTCCCTCACTGCATTACAAATTAAATTTTCTCAGCGTTCATAGCTGTTGCGCTCTTCATTTTGGCTGCAACTGTTATTTACAACGCCTTTAATGATTATCTCTATAAAAAGCTGAATACCCCTAACTCGCTCTGTTAATGATAAAGCGTTAAAAATAAACTAAAGTATAGTATTTGCATGAAAACATTCATCCAATATGGGAGACGTATTCTGCTTAAAATAGAACGGGAAAAAAAAAATGCTCTCTTGTCAGCTAAGAATATCACGAAGATTGCTTTCCTACTCAAAATCTTTATTTTAAGAAGGGAAAAAGTCTGCCAGCACCTTGTGCTTCTTACAACTCTTAGTTTTTTTTTTTTATCATTTTATCAAAAGCAAACAATTATAAGCATCTGCAGAAAATGCTAATAAAGTGAGATAAATAATTTATCATCTTATACCTGCTTGAGGATAACTTTTTTTTAGGACACTGCTGTTAAAAGGTTGATGGTTTAAAGTAATTAACTCTGTTCTCATCCTTAAACTGGCTTCAGTTGATCTTGTGCCAAGCTAAGTGCAAAACGGTAAAACGATTTATCGTGTCTGTATTCTTTTTTTACACTACATGTAAATTTTCGATGTATTTTTGCTATCGATGACCTGTCTTAAAAGAAAGCGGAAAAAACGGAAAAGAAGTCTTAAAATTATTAAAGGAAACCCAAAAGCTGTTGTCAGGACTTGGGTACATAAACACCAAAATGCAAATAATAAAGTTAAGAAGGGTTGAGAACTGGAGAATCTGTTGTCGTATTATCTGTAGCAGAATCGTAAATGACTACGTTCAGTAGAGCTTCCCCCAAAAGCGGTCTTGACATCTGCTTCGGCAAAGTGATATATTACACTAGATTGTCAGCAGTCTTTCAACACCGTTGAAAGGTTTCTGAAGGTGCTGAAACAGAGTGTCAAATGGAGTTTTGACTACTTGCCAAGTTTGACATCCCATCCGATTCCTCCGAGTTCGTTAATTTCGAACTTTTCTCGTGGTTTAGCAAGCTAAACATCAAAGCGCCACAAATTAAGGAACAAATATTCAAAATATAAACAACCGTGCACTCTTTACAACCGTTATTGGTAAAATTCGTTTGCCTCTTTTTTAAAAAAGAGATCCCTCAAGGCTCTCGAAATTGTCTTCAGAACATCTTAATTGAATGCGATTTGAGAGTGTGCTTACTTTACACTGCTTTACAGGACAAAAGCATCATAAATTTGCATTCTGCACCCCAAAGGTGTGAAATATTGGCTCAATTTGAGGATGGTTTTAATTAAGCGAGTAGCTCAATGCTACAGTCGTGTCATCTTAGTTTCGAGTCCTAGAATGACAAGGTAAATAAAGCTGTTTTCGACAGTTAAATGTCCACTTCTTTCCTGCGTTATGAAGCATTACGTCTGCACGCGCAGACAGCTAAGCAAAATACTTCACTTCATGTAAATAAGCTCACGTGTCCACACGGTGTTCGGCATTACTAGTCCCCAGAGCTACTCCGTTCACCGACCACTTGACCGGAAGAAACGAGCGCACTGGAGACGAAAATTGACAGATTGTTTTTAACGATTGAGAATACTTTACAACTGTCAAACTCGAGTGATTGAGCCTAAAGACGGCCGTCTTTCGTGAAATCTATGGGCGCTTTGCCAGTCTTACTCAAACATCTTACTGGTATGCTTGTTCCTCGAACGAACGCCAAAGTACAGAGTTTTGCGGTCTACTTAGAATCAGCCCTCTAACACGATTCACCCCAAAGAGCAACGGAAACGCCCCACCCGAGGAATTCAGCCATCCGAAACGTTCCTTCCTGGGAGTGATCTTTGCCCAAGGTTTCTGAAATATAAATAACTTAAAAATCACCAACTAATTCACGGTCCGTTGATTTATTTTATTGTGGTCAATCATATACTCTTCTTTGTCAACAAAACGGAAAGCTTAATTAAAAATTAAATAAACATCCAAATATTGCTAGTTTTAATAAAACAAAACTGCGATGAAACACAAGCTTCTTGGAGAAGTTTTAGTTCTATTCCGGTCAAGCCCTCAGGTAACCTTCAAAAAAGGGTTACGGTAAACGCGGAACTTCAGTGATACTTCAGAAAAATACTGCTTTGAGGCGACAAGTACTCAGGTCGAGAAATGTTACATTGAAAATGTGAGCTTCTTAGATTCATTTGTAAGCCAAGGGGCCATAAATAAAGAACTGCTAAGGGACGTTTGCTATATCAGCAATAATTTCCTTGTCTGTTGTCAAGATATCACGCAATTTGCCGCCTGCAGATCTTCCTGCTGTGACCCGCCCAGCGAGTTTGAGGGATCCATTGCAGTTCCAGGCATTTTTGTTTTACGGTCGTCAGTGATGGAGGTCTTCTCCATCTTTTCAAATATTGTTGGACTAATGTCTGGCTGGTTAAAGCTGTGCGGCCTTTCATCATCAAAACGTGATGATTTTTCTTGAAGTTGCTTCTTCATGTCCTCTAATTCCATTCGCAATCTGATAAGAGATTGGAAAAAAATGCACGCAAATTAGTCGACAAAAACGTTGTTGAGTGAGTCTACAGAATTAATAAGGAAATAGAACGTTTAATCGATCGTTCGGTGGAACACTTGATCAATCCATCGATCAATAAAATTAGTTGTTATTCGTCAAGGCCATTAAGGTGTCTAAGAAATTCCAGGCATTTTCGTTGCCAACGCATCCCACAAGAATACAGTAGTCTTTAGTTCTCGACAAAGAATTTTTAGAGCTTTTCTAGGTTTTCCGAACCATTACTATTTCCATCGCAAGAAGTTGGAATTATATAAGGATCTTGTTGGCCCTATCTTTCTAAACTCAAGAGCTTAATTCTCCTCAGTAACTGTCATGCATTTTTGAACATTCGTTCTGAGAATTCCGCGGTGCATCAAGGCAATACCTCGCAATTTACGATTCGCTTTATTTTCGCCACCTTTCTACTTGGTATTGCATTGACACTGAAAGGAGAAATCCTATGTTGATCATACCTATGCACTTCACTGTTATACAGATTCTGTTGTTCTTTAATTGTCCTCTCTCTGACTTCTTGTGTTGTTAACTGTAAAAAGATTGTAAAAACAAAGCGAAAGTGAAATTTGTTAAAATACAGACACAGTACGGGGAAAGAGCTATGAAGCACGGTCTACACTAAGCCGGAGGAATTTGGAAACGCAGGTTTCACTCAGGAAACGCATCAAATGTTTTCCGTTCACACTACGCCGCAGGAATTTATAAACGCAACATCAGCGGTCATTTTGGATTTTTGTTTGAAGAAAATTCAGTCAAGGAAACCACGTGATTATCGTGTCGCGTTCGTTTTCAAAAAGCTCCGTTTTCAAACTTTTTTTCGTCCACACGAAAACGCCCAGCCAGCGTTTTCAATTTCCTCCTGTTTGAAGAGCGTTTTCGAAAAGCTCCGATTTCGTGACGGATTGGTGTAAACCGTAAGCCCAACCGTAGAAATAAAGTTGCGTTTTCAAATAATCTCAGTGTGTCATATTCCTGATTTTAGCTCCTTGGAATTGTTGTGTGTTGTGTTACGTTCGGACATGTAAGGCACTACTTTTGGTCAGGTTGGAGTCAGCTGCAGAATGAAACGAGGACTGAAGTGTGAAAAACCTAAAGAGAATTAGCTTTTGTGGTCATTATATATGAATACACAATTGCTATTAGCTGTACTGTGAAAACGTTTTACAGTAATGTAAAATTTTGGGCACAAAACCTCTTCATTTCTGCTCTTTTGACGAAAGTAGCACCTGAAAAAAACAAAAACATGAATAATAGGATTAGGAAGTGTCAGTAAAAATATCACATAAACAAGAAATTAAAAATTGTCGTAAACTTGTGACAATTTTGTTAATACGAGGAATCCATCTTGATTATTCATACTTGTTTTGTCTTCTTTCAACACAAGACTTGTTTGGTTGAAAATACTGAGTAATTTTCTTCAATATTTTATCAACAGTTGATGAGGATGTGCATCACCTTGGAAAAAACCATCTTGAATACTGGGCATGCTTGATGAACTTACAAAGTTACAGAAACGAAATAAAGTTGACCTGTTCGCGCCATTATTAGTTTTTGTTTTCGCTTGAACAGCGTGTCAATTTTCGGGTTTGCGCCTTAAGTAGGGTTTCAATTTGAGGCTGCTTCATTCTTAAATTGGGTCAGGATTTAAGATCCTTAAATAAGCCCGGTGTGTGCCCTTCGCGGCACACACCTATCCGAGATTTATGGGAGTACACCCCGGCGGGGGTGGGGATCAGTATAGGGAAGTCCAAAACAAACACATTGTTTTATCAACTAAACACTATTTAGACGATAAAAATTATTGCTTGATCGTACTACATGAAAAGATTCATACTTTCCGTGGTTTGTCGTGTATATCTGGCCGGGACAACTCAAAATCTTAATCTCCACAACAAAGCGGTCTTCCACTTGTTTCCTAGAGCTGGGCCTAAAAAACAAAGTACAATAAATATCGGTTATTCAACAAGCGTGTGGTCGAGATGGCTGGAGAGACAGAGCCGAGGTCCATACACACGCAAAAAAAAAACGAGGCCAATATCTAGCCCTCTTGACCGAACAAGCTTGGTCAATAAAAATTTGTTATAAGGAAAAAGAACGCTATTTTCTTGAGGGATAGAGCGGGTAGTCCCGAGCGGGCAAGGTAGCGCCATCTTGCCCGCTCTGGTAGCCAATCACAGAGCAGGATTTGGTTCATCTTGCCCGCTCATCTTACCCGGCCATCTGTGTTAACACTTGTTACTTACAACCACAAAGATCCATGGAGATTGTTTCTTAAACTATATTCTACTCAGGTGTTTAAGGAGCCGTCAAAAATGGCTTAGACTTAATGTCAATCCAAGATTCTCCAGTTGACTGTGACACATTGTCATTAAAAACATTGAGAAATAAATATATACGGACTGCAATAATTTACGACCTAAACAAAATTGTCTCTTGCATATCAGCCTTCAAGTGATACACCTTTTTAGAAATTTAAGCTTGGGCAGTTTGTTGTCCCATTTCAGACCATGTGATGATACTCTTGAGAATTCTTCCTTTCAAATTTTCAAATGTTCACGTGTATATGAATGAATAATTTGTAGATGGATAAAAGAACTCTTTACAGAGAATATCACGTGGTCTGTAATGGAAAAATAAACCGCTCAAGCTAAAAAGGTATATTCAGTAGCCAACAACATAAGGACATAAAAAGGCACAAGCACGCACTGCAGACCTATGTTTGCTTATGATCTTACCTATCACTTCCTTGATTTCTCACCACCGGTACAAAGTCCACCTGATAGCAGTGATGTTTCACTGACGGATTGAAGCGATCCATGCACTCATCCACACCAAGACGTAACTGATCACGCTGAGATACGCAAATAGTACATTGAGTATACACATAATTAAGCCCTGGGATGATCCGACTTCAAAAGCAGTTTTGAGTGGGTTTAAAATCACGGAAACTTTTCGCTGGATGTGGTGAGGGGTGGGTGGGGAAGACGGGGACAGGCTAATGGGCAGAACGAAAGGTTTTTGACGAGCAATGTATTGTCATGAAACCACTCTGCTCAATTAGAATATGAAACAACGTCCTGTGATCAGAGCGTAATCAAAGTCTAAAAGTATAATATTTCGTTAGCCTCACCGTACTTCATCAGACGCAAAAAAATGTGAATGGTGTTGGCTAATTCAAAGCCATTATCTCTATTCAAGGAGGGATTGATTTGTTCTGATCAATCATGATACATTTAATCACAATTTGCAATGTTAAGTATTAACATTAAAATGAAATAAAATATCACATAGGGTAGAAAAACAGCCAAACAGGAACAAGGATGGTCAAAACTAGGAAGACTGAGATGGATTACAAATAAAAAACTTGAATATCATTTTGGCACAGAAATTCTTCATGTGCCACTGGTGTGTAACTTTAGTACTACGACAACTGAATCATCTCTACCTGTTTTCTGTCGATTCTCAAGCCAGCTACTACTCCATCTTTTCGAATTCCCAGGTAAACAGTGCCACATTTATCACTGTTTAAAAATGCACATAAAGATCTAAAGGAGAACAAGGAGCAGATTTTTTCATGACTCTCACTGAAATGTAACAGACATCAATTGGGCTATTTTTTTAAAAAAATTATCAAGAGTTTAAAAGCACGTATAATCCAAGTCTAAAATAATTCTCACCATATTCTATAATTCTATTCCAATACATCAGACAGTGTCAAACTGCTCTCGCCTGGATGACCACAAAAATGAACTACATTCTACTGTTAAAACCCCCTTCATCATAAATGTTTCAGCTACAGTTTTGTTTGTCGACTACTTCGTATATTTTGGGAAATGGAAAACATCTTCTCGAACAGACCAAAACACAACTAAGCAGACCAAAACACAGCTATGCATCCTATTTTCAACTCTCTTCTTGGTGGTTGGAAATGTTACCAAACATGGTCTTTCGTGTTTGATATATTACCTGTATTATCTGAAAAGCACAGTCACTATGAAATGCCTGATTTTGTCAGGAAGACACAGCAAAACCATCGCTGAATACAAATTATGAAATACTACCGAACATGCAAAGGACCTCAGGTTTTTGATTGGCTGTTTTTTAATCTCCTCTCACCTGGCTACTGGTCTAGTCGATACACTGTTTATGTTAGCCTGAGGCCTGCTCAAAAAAAACAAACAAACACACACAAAAAAGAAGGTAAATGAGTAACTGCTGAGCAAATAAGTTGAAAAGCAGCCTGGAAACCAAATGTTCAAGGGGGAGAGAGAAGAGAAATTTGTTGTGATCATGAAGAGCAGACAGAGAGCACCTTGATCATGACTTTCATTCACACCTCACACCTCGCCTATGTAGCAAGCATCCCTTCCTTTTGGGCACCCAAAAAAATCATGCAGGAAGAAAAAATGTGAGGAGGTGGGGGGAGACGTGGAGAAGAGGGAACCCCCCCCTGCTTTCCTCTCCTCTCCTCTCAATGCCCCCTTATTTGTTAGCCGTCACCCCATTTTTTGCATGGCAGAAATGTGGAAAGCTCAAGTGCTTGCAATAAGGCTAATTGCCTTTTGCAGTACAAAACTATGGAGCCTTTTCTCTTCCCTTTCTATGTCTGCCACACAGACTTAATAGTTAAATTGGTGTACCCTTTGAGACTAAGGATTTTGCTTCATAAGGAAGAGAAATAATGAACAATCAAAGTATATTACCTGAAATCATGCAAGTCATCTTCACTAAATGGCACATGATAACCTTGGATGTAATACCTTTCCTTATCAACATCTTTCTACAAAAAAAGAAATTATTGTGACACGATTTTCAACTTGCAGACTTTTTATACACCAACATCATTGGTAATATCTGAGGCCTTCCAAGGGAGCTAGCCGTGTCACTATGTCCCATCTATTAGTGACGTAACTTGCCTAACCAGCAGAGGCAAATGTCCCTGTTGTTTTCCTCTGCGAAGTCATATTTCGTTGTCACTACAAGGTTGATATTTAGAGTTTATTCAATGGAAATATACACACATTTCTGGCATTTACAGACTTACTAAAGAATGCGATTTTTAAATACTGTACACAAAGCATCCAAAAGGGTCAATGTCGCTGTGTTTTCTAGTGCTTCTCATTTCACTGTCAAATTTCAGTGGCACATTCCATACACACTTGATGCTGATTAGAAAATTCCAGTGTCACTGGTTTTCAAGGTTTTGTCACTTGTTGCTTCTATCCCTTTGAAGGCCTCATATCTACACTAACTATGAAATTGCCTTACAAATTTCGAACATAGGACACTCCCTTCTCCCTTTGCCTTGTAGATAAGGGTTTTCTGTGAATTCAGTCCACTTAAAGTTTCCTACATACACATTGACACATCCAAAAGCTACTCCGTACGAGGACCAATCCAATTAGCTACATTTCAGTACACTTAGAGTAGAATACATACATCATCATTACATCTAGGACCTTGCACTTGAACTTGCTTGTCAGTCACCAGTCTCTCTCCATCTGTGTCGCCATCAGTGTCTTCATAACTAGCACTGTTGTCATAATCAGAATATCCCTCAGACTCCCCTGTTGAACTCCGCTTGAGGTTTTCTGGTGAAAGTGCTACTGGAGTAGGCTTTGGTTCGACCTCACCACGGCGCAATCTGTTTTGATTTGTAAATTTACATTGTTCATTGAAATTAACTTTCTCAGTACATGAAAGAAAATTACTTTCCCTGCTCAAGATGTCTAGTTATGCCAAGTCAGCTGACTGTGAATTTAAACATATGATCCACATGAAAGTGGAGCTACCACTTACTCTTGTGCATCTGTTTCATGTGTATTATTTTAGTAAACACCCTGTAAGAAGGTGTGCTAAACTACAGATACTGGCATAACTTGATACGTGTAGAAACATGAAACAGAAAAAACTTGCTATTATTTAAAGATGTTGGTGGAAGTTCAACACTGTGTTGCTGATTGCCTTACAATAGAAAAATGTTTGAATGACTGTGACACTGTTTGTTTGAGTAGACTAGAAAATACAGCATTGCAATAATTACTAATTACAACCTTCGTCTTCTTCTTCGACGTCCTCTTTCACATGTGGGCTCATCATCTGACACAGCCAAGGAAAATTTTCTCTTCTTTTAAAAGAGAGAAAAAACAATTAGGAAAACAATTCTGTTCCTGGGTTGGGTTGTTCAAAGCCTGATTAAGTTCACCCAGAATAAGTGACCTTAGAACATTATACAAAGTTTAATTTCTAAGAGTGGTATGCATTGTCACAAGACAATTATTATTATGGTGTACTTGTGCATGGGTGGGTTGGTAGGTGAGTGGGTGGGTAGGCACATATTGGTAGATAAATCTTAATTCATTGAGGGTGACATAAGACACTAGTTCAAAAAATAAACTTACTTCATCAACTATGCTTCTGGTATCATAAGTTAAGTTGGTGTGTGTTTTGGTATTAATCTGTAAAACACCATTCTCTAGATTTGTACTGTAGAAAAAGAAAAAAAAATGATAACAAAAGTCAAAATGGATCCTACTAAGAAGATAATGTGGATGCTCAAATTGTTCCTCTTAGAAGTTTCAAATATAATGTACATGCTTTGGTACAACTTAGGCACTCCAATTTCAGTTACATGTATCACTTTGCAGTTCAGGGTTGTGACCCACCAGAACAGAAAAAAACTCCCTGACTTTTCACCGACTGTAAAGCAATTTTCACTGAGCGTCAGGATGATTATTCTGGCCATGAATCAACAAAAATAAGAACGGCTCAGATAATTTTTTAAACAAAATTGCCTTGTCTACATGAAAAAATCTTATAAAATGATTGGCGGCAACCCTAAGATAAAATTCCCTGACTTTTCACTGACTTGGAACAGGGATTTAGAAATTCCCTGACCTGATACAAAACTCCCTGATTTTACCCTGACCTTGAATAAAATCTTATTTTCCCTGACTTTTCCCTGACTGTGGCAACCCTAAAGTTATTTTTGTACCCTTAGTGTACAAGTAGAAGGTGTAAGACTAGGTGCAATGCGCAGTTTTCTCCCAAACTTGAGTAGACAAAATGAAATTTGAAATGATGAGTCAGAGAGGCTGAAGTGACTGCTTGTGGCCTAAGGTTATGATAATTATTGCTGGTACCTGGTTGATGTTCAAAATGCAAAATTCTGGGCCCGGTTGTTCGAAAGCTGATTAACGCTAATCCAGGATTAAAAGTTAAATAAAGTTCTTACTTCTCTTGAATAAAAGTGTTTTCACTGTCTATGTTTCCTGGAGTTTGACATTAGTCAAAGCCAAAACTGAAGGACAAAAAATTAGAACTGACACCTTCACTGGTAAGTTACAAAATTGAAATAAAAATTTACGCTAATCCTGGATTAACTTAATCGTGCTCTGAACAACCCGGCCCTGGTACCCAAAATTTGAAGTTAAAACTTTTTTGGAAGGAAGCTTGGCCACCTTTATCTGAGAGCCCTCAACATCATTAGTGGTAACAAATTTTACATAGACAAATGAGGGTCTTGGGAACTTTTGATCCAATCTCAGAATTCTTTGTGATGACCCATGGTGTTTCTTCCTGTCTTCGAGTCTAAGATAGATCATGTCTCAGTCAGTCTTGGAAGTAATCTGTCAAACATGAAAGACCGTGTTTGACCACAGTTCCAAACATCAAGAAGAGAGTTGAAAATGCGACAGTTGGCGGAGTATCTTTGATGAAACTTGGAGGTGTTTGGAATGTGGTCAAACACTGCCTTGATTATGTTTGATATATCTTCTCAACTGAAACTAAGACTAAGTTCTAGATGGAGAAATAACATCAAAAAAAATCTATGCTAATCGAGATCAGATATCCGACCACCATCATGGTCCTGATTTCCTTTGTTTAAACTTGATGAGGTATTAAATAAATGAGTTTGTGAAGGATTTTTAAACAAGAATCTTGGCATCTTGGAAATCTTGGAAATTTACAATAAAATTAGTCCTCCCTCCCTTAATCCTTCACAAAAAATGTGACTCACATGGAATTTCCAAGTAAGTTCTTGATAGCATGAAGACACCTGGTCTTGACTGGATCGCTCTCAGAATTGTAATAAACTTGACTCAGTGTTATCAAGCCATCACTGTCTGCCAGTCGACAGCGATTAACATACGAATCTTGAACCAAATTTTGAATGCTTCCGATCGCAAGGAAAAGGACTTCTTCATCCTGTGAAAACCTCCGGCAAACATCTGGGGAGAAAAAGAGAGTTTTTACTAGACCCACTGAGGAAAACAATTTTTATTATCATCCAAGCATATGGCCCCATTGGCACAATCCTAATGCAAAACAGAGCACAGGGTCAGGCAATTTGAAGAGAGCCAGACAGTAAAAACATTTGGCCCATAACGTGTTAACAATTTTTCAAAGTAATAGATGAATATTTTTCCTGGTCTCTTTTCCAGTAGTGTTATGGCTGCATTTGCATCTATCCTCATGTCTAAATTTACTAAAAGTGCACAATTCATAAAATTCACAAAAATGTTTTCACGAGCTTCATAAAGGTAGTCAGAATAGTAAAGAACAGTAAAATATAGGTTAGACTAGACAGGAAAATATTTAGGATCTTGATCATTTTAGATTAACCGAAAACAGTGAGGGACTTGCTGCAGTCTATCTGTATGGCATGCCCTTGAGCCACACAATTTTTCCCACCAAGGGTCTCCAACTTATTGGGAGGGTTGGCAAACTCACTCAACTGCCTTTTAATAGAAACGTCACTTGTGCTGGCAACTAAATAAGACTGACATCTTTTTACAGCAGCCATCTCATTGGAACAGTCATCTTTGTTATATTATCAGCTAGAAACATGTGACAGCTGAAATCAAATTAACTTAAATTACTAAATATCATATAAATTTACCAAGAAGAACTTGAATGCCACCAAGAAATCCAATCCTGACTCGAACTTTAGTGCTGATGGCCAGATTGAGAAGAGCACCCACAGCCTCCTTACAGACACCTCTGTTTTGGACGGTACACAGCTGATGAAACAATGGGAGTGAAAGTTGAACAACATGATCCTAGTAAGCTGACCTAAAATGCATTCATGGATCAGAAGGTACAAAAGTCAGATCAGATCAACTTGGACCACCAATCAGGTTGGATCGACTTGGATCGACTCAGACCAACTCAGATCAACTTGGTCAAAAGGTTGTCCCGTGCAACCAAGCACTGGACACAAGTTTGCAACTTGATCCTAGAGGAACTGGCAGTAAAAATACAAAATGGCTACTGACAACACAGAGAAACCTAGCAAGTCTTTCTTGATTTGGCCTATTTCATAGACAAACTTTTTCCCTCAAATGGGTAAAAGTTTCAATTTCCTCTAATTTTCTTTGATCTGAGTTGATCCGAAGTGCTGTCACTGCACTACTAATACTTAGATAAAGACTTTTTTTACTATTTTACCATCTCAAACTTAAAAATAAAGATCCAGGGCCGTATAATTTTCTAAAACCTGACTCACCTTGAGTAGAAACTCCAGACCTTGCTGAGCAGTAACATAAAGGCGGTAAGAGTTACTCTCTTCAGTCAGATTTCTTAGAGCACCTGAAATGCGTAGCGATTGAATCTAATCGAGTCACTGATAAATAAGGCAGTACTGAACAACACTATATTACTGTACATAGCAATGGTTATTCCAAATAGTATGTGGTAAACTTATGCACCTGATAAGAGTCATGAACAACAACAAGCTGGACGATGATTAATGGTATCATATATTGTTAAAATATTAATGGAGAGTTGCCCACACAGGATGGGTGCAGCTAATAATTTCTTACTAATATAACAGTGCTGCAAAAACATCTCACACAGCTAAATGCATTACCAGAAGCATGCTCCAGAATTTCGGCACTTTTGGGTGGGTCTTGAATTCCAGACAAACAGCACAAGGTTGCCTATCATGGAATTAAAATAAATTAAATTTTGTCTGCAATTGACTTTTATCTACATAATTCTTGATGAACTGTATTCCTGAGTGTGACTTGCATAAAATAGGCTTTGGTCTAACAAGAGCCATACTCATCCCACGTTTGCGACAAAAAAAGGATGAAGATCATGCAAACAACCTACATGCATTGATTCCTTTCCCTCTTTGATTTTTTGAGGATATTCCATGACAACCTTTCAGAAATAAGATTTTTTTTACTGATGCTAGATATCAGGTTCTCGAGATGATGGAAATATTGTTTAATAGGTGTCGACTGATGATTAATGATCAATGCTTGGGTTTATAATGTCCCATGACTGAGAGAGGTTTAAATTTGAAGGTCACACCTGGATGTGAAAGATGAGATAATTTTATGTTGCCTTTTACAAGGTACAGGTTCTGAACATTCCTAGGGATTGGACAAGTGTACTGTGCACAGCATTTTGTCCTCCAGCATTTTGCCCAGCTGATCTAATAATTTCTGGAGAGAGGCATTTTGGAAATGTGTCTTAGTCTGGAAAGAACATAACACAGTGACCCAACCAAGGGCTTGATCACAGAGCTAGTAACACAGGANATAATTTTCTAAAACCTGACTCACCTTGAGTAGAAACTCCAGACCTTGCTGAGCAGTAACATAAAGGCGGTAAGAGTTACTCTCTTCAGTCAGATTTCTTAGAGCACCTGAAATGCGTAGTGATTGAATCTAATCGAGTCACTGATAAATAAGGGAGTACTGAACAACACTATATTACTGTACATAGCAATGGTTATTCCAAATAGTATGCGGCAAACTTATGCACCTGATGAGAGTCACGAACAACAACAAGCTGGACGATGAGTGACGGTATCATATATTGTTGAAATATTAATGGAGAGCTGCCCACACAGGATGGGTTCAGCTAATAATTTCTTACTAATTTTATTATATAAAGGTGCTGCAAAAACATCTCACACAGCTCAATGCATTACCAGCAGCATGCTCCAGAATTTCGGCACTTTTGGGTGGGTCTTGAATTCCAGACAAACAGCATAAGGTTGCCTATCATGGAATTAAAATACATTAAATTTTGTCTGCAATTGACTTTTATCTACATTATTCTTGATGAACTGTATTCCTGAGTGTGACTAGCATAAAATAGGCTTTGGTCTAACAAGGGCCATACTCACCCCAAGTTTGCGACAAAAAAAGTATAAAGACCATGCAAACAACCTACGTGCATTGATTCGTTTCCATCTTTGATTTTTTTGAGGATATTCCATGACAACCTTTCAGAAATAGGATTTTTTTTAACTGATGCTGGATACCAGGTTCTCGAGATAATGGGATAGTTGTTTAATAGGTGTCGATTGATGATTAATGATCAATGCTTGGGTTCATAATGTCCCATGACTGAGAGAGGTTTAAATTTGCAGGTCACACCTGCATGTGAAAGATGAGATAATTTTATGTTGCCTTTTACAAGGTACAGGTTCTGAACACTCCTAGGGAGAGGACAAGTGTACTGTGCAGAGCATAATTTTTGTCCTCCAGCATTTTGCCCAGCTGATCTACTAATTTCTGGAGAGAGGCATTTTGGAAATGCGTCTTAGTCTGGAAAGAACATAACACAGTGACCCAACCAAGGGCTTGATCACAGAGCTAGTAACACAGGATACAACGGACTATCCAAACCTTAAATGAAATACTTTTGATACAACAGCAAATTAATACGTTACCTGTGTTGGAAAACCCATCAGATGTTCTGGCAAAACATATAAGCATGTGCTTGAGACTTCCTTAGTGAAACCATTGTCTATGGCAAAGACCTTTGCTGTTAGACTGCCATCAGTTTTCTGATCTAGTGAAAGGACTTGAGCTCTGTACGTGTCTCTGTGACCTCCAATCATTTCGCACACAAAAACAAATGTACCAGGTTCTGGTATGGAATTTAGGGGAATTTGGTCCTGAAAATGTCAACGAAAGACAAAAATNCTGGAAAGAACATAACACAGTGACCCAACCAAGGGCTTGATCACAGAGCTAGTAACACAGGATACAACGGACTATCCAAACCTTAAATGAAATACTTTTGATACAACAGCAAATTAATACATTACCTGTGTTGGAAAACCCATCAGATGTTCTGGCAAAACATATAAGCATGTGCTTGAGACTTCCTTAGTAAAACCATTGTCTATGGCAAAGACCTTTGCTGTTAGACTGCCATCAGTTCTCTGATCTAGTGAAAGGACTTGAGCTCTGTATGTGTCTCTGTGACCTCCAATCATTTCGCACACAAAAACAAATGTACCTGGTTCTGGTATGGAATTCAGGGGAATTTGTTCCTGAAAATGTCAACGAAAGACAAAAATTGCACAAAGCGGTTGACTGTTCAGCTGTTAACCTAACTACATTCTAAGAAATGGTTATTTTATACATGCCTATATTGACGTACTGAGTACATCATAATTTTAAGAGATTTAGTCAAACTCCTGGCATACGGGACACAACTTTTATTGGCACCTGAGATTCATAGGTATTTCAGCAGACCGCTTATTTTCTCACTGCTGCGACACCATATGGATATTAAATAACACCAACCTCAGCAAAATTGACCACATTAAAGAGACAATTTTCAGACCTTTCAGAAAATGTACACATGTCTGTAGTTTAAGTGAAAATACTTCTGGCATTTGAAGCTTTTAACTAGACACTCATTTTCAGTAATGTGGCACACAGCATACACAATGGTCAGGCACTGAAGGGGTTAAACTGGTGTGGATCACTGACAATTTAAAGGGCTTAGGCCATGCTATTTTAGGTAACTTTGTTTAATTTTGTTAATTATGAGCTCTAAACATCAAATTGGCAGAGCAAGAGTCTTTTGTTTGCAAAATCACGGCCACATAACAACTGAGAATGATTTTCCAGCTGTGTAAATGACATTTTGATATAATCTGATATAAATTTGAAAAAAGGTGGGCCATTGTTTTTCAAATTTACCCAAATGCAATGCATTTTCATCCTCTCAAGTTTTGTCCATCCATGTCCCTTCTTGGCTTTCCTGAGTTTTGTTTGAGATCTTCTATAGTTTTGAACCGTTTTTGTGATATTTTAGTTAATTCTATGACCACTTGATCAGTGCTGAAATTGCCTAACATTGCGTGACCTAGCCCCTTTAATTGAAAGGTTATCAGTAGGGTATGGCTTTGTGGTTAATGATGCTGGTTCAACTTGCTACTGTGTCCCCTGATTAAGCAAAGCATGACAGTAACCAACACGTCATAGCCTACCTGTGATAAAAGTTCCCTATTTATTGCCTCCATTTTTTCAATCACTGGTTTCCCTCCAACATGAGCCCAGAAATGACAGGCATCAATCACTTCTGTCACATAAATGTCAGCCCATCTAAACTCTCTATCCTGCCATCGAAAGTAAAATGGTTACTTCTATTACCTGTAAGCTCCTTATGTAAACTATGAAAATCACAGAAAGAAAGATTTTTGATTAATTTTTGGCCTCACGAGTTGATAACAAATTTACAACCCCTTTGAATGTGTTTAATATGGAACCCATCATCTTAGGAGCACCCCCATTCCAACAAGTGCTTCACTATTCTATTTCTTATTAGTATAATCTACTAGCATTTGATCACGAGTGCTGTTCGTTGATTGGCTACCCTACTCACTACCTATTCTGTTGTAGATAGTGAGTAGCATAGCAGTGTGCACTTGTTATCAAAATGATGGTCGATTCTTTGTGTTTTCAAACTATCTGACTGTGAAGAGGACTTATATTAAGTTTTGAACGACTAGTAGATTTAGACTAAAACAATTAGATTATTCGTTCTCAAATTCTATGCATGATAGGCTGAGTTGACTCAGGCTGCACCCTTATCAACTAATAGCGATAGAAATCTCGAGCTCATAATCTAATTGTTTAATATTACATGCACAATCAGAATACAATTTGATATCACCCGTGGTCCATCTTCCCTCTTAAAAACTCATATCATTCAAGATCATAAATAAAGAACTGTTTCTTTAAGTATCACAACTGCTTTTCCATAGGGCAGGGCTAGTGGCTAGTTGGGGGGGGGGGGGGGGGGGGG